TATCGAATACGGCCAAATTGTAGCATTTCAAATATATGTCAATATATTTGGGAAGAATATTTTTAAAATATATTTCAAATATATTTTTCTTCCATATGGGAAAATGGACCCTACAAGGCCCCAAAATGTTGACACAATGCCTTTAAATTTTTTTTTATTTATTATTATATTTTCCAACGGCGCCACCTATTGTGCTACTTCAAAGCCCCACCTTGATAGGCCGTAATTAAAGGTAGTGCAGCTCATAAAGGACTGTTGGTTTTCCTAACCGGCACGTTCCTATGTGTGTTCCGTATCATTAGAAGGGCGGTGCGTGTTTAATTACCGTAGCAATTTCTCAATATCTCCTCGCTATTATTCCATATGCCGTTTGAAATCCAGTCCAGCGTGTTCTAATTAAATACGTCTCAGCCTCGCAAGGCTCATTATGTCATTATATTAATTAACAGCTCAATCCAAAATTAGTGAGTATGCCAAACAGTTTTTATTCATGTAATTAACTGTTTAATTCTTTTTTTATACGTTTTTTTTTTTTTTCTTTTTTATTTGTTGTGTCTCTGGTCTATTAAAAAAAAAAAACACATCAAAGCTCTAATCCGGTGAAATTCGATGAGTAAATATAAGTCATCATGCACATAATAATATCATTCATATATTTTCCTAAATCGTCTTTCAGAGAAATTTGATTTTATAAGGCAATAAAATAAAAAAAATAGTATTTATGATTTATCTTGTTCTTAAAGCGACACGATCACAAGAAATAGGTAAAAAAATACAGAACTGGTATGCAAGAGGGGAAGTCGTAATTCCTGATCGGCATACCCGGTCAGTTTCTCAGTAATAAATCCAGAAGATCACTATGGCGCCCAGGAAAAGAAGGCATTCGGAATGGGGATAGAAATGGTAGACCAAATGGTTCTCCCTTGGCCAGGGGTGGACTGACAACTCATGGGACCCCCGGGGCAATAGGGGATCATGGGGCCCCTGTGTCCTTGCCCAAACTCAAAAAAAGCCTATGAAAAAGGTACCAGGGGCATCTCATGGGGCCCCTACTGACCCCGGGCCCTCGGGCAGTGCCCGAGTTTCCAAATGGTCAGTCCACCCCTGCCCTTGGCTGATATCTTTCTGTCAGGTCTGAAATCTGTTTGCCAATCGGCTCCTCACTCGATCTAAACAGGTTTGAGGTTATTGCCTATCGGGTGGTGGCTAGAGCAGCCTTTCTCAACTTTTTTTACCCCAGAGGAAACCTTGAAATAATTTTCAGGTCTCAGGGAACCCCTTAAAAGATTAGTCAATCGGGGTCATTGTGAAAAAGCCTCTACAATGTTGGGGGGGGGGGGGGGGGGAGAATGCCCCTTAAAGTGGTGGCCAGAATGACTCCCTTGGGGTCATGCCACTTGATCTGCCAAGTGGCATTGGACCTGGAACTATGCAAGCATTTTCAGATCAAAGTTCAGTTAGCCACAGCTCAAAGAACCCTTTGACACCCCTGGAGGAACCCTAGAGTTGGGAATTGGTGTGCTAGAGTGTATTCAGAGCAACATGGCCTTGCCTTTGCAAACCCAGAGCTTTCCATTTTGACTTGAGATGTTCAGATGAAGCCTCAGAAATCCATTGTAAAGCAAGGGTCTGCCAAGATTGTGACATCAAAAGCCTGATAGTAGCTCTGGAGGAACCCTAGAGTTGAGAATGGGTGGGCTAAAGCATCTTCAGAGCAACATGGCCTTGACAGTAGCTCTGGAGGAACCCTAGAGTTGAGAATGAGTGGGTTAAAGCGTCTTCAGAGCAACATGGCCTTGACTTTTCAAACCCAGAGCTTTCAATTTTAACTTGAGATGTTCAGATGAAGCCTCAGAAATCCATTGTAAAGCAATGGTCTGCCAAGACTGTGACATCAAAAGCCTGACAGTAGCTCTGGAGGAGCCCTAGAGTTGAGAATGGGTGGGGTAAAGCATCTTCAGAGCAACATGGCCTTGGCTTTGCAAACTCACAGCTTTCAGTTTTGACTTGAGATGTTCAGATGAAGCCTCAGAAATCCATTGTAAATCAATGGTCTTCTAGGATTGTGACACTGAAAGCCTTACAGTAGCTTTGGAGGAATCCTAGAGTTGAGAATGGGGGGCTAAAGAGTCTTCAGAGCAACATGGCCTTGCCTTTGCAAATCCAGAGCTTTCAATTTTGACTTGAGATGTTCAGATGAAGTCTTAGAAATCCATTGTAGAGCATTGGTCTACCAAGATTGTGACATCGAAAGCCTGACAGTAGCTCTGGCGGAACCCTAGAGTTGAGAATGGGTAGGCTAAAGCGTCCTCAGAGCAACATGGTCTTGACTTTTCAAACCCAGAGCTTTGTGTTTTGGCTTGAGATGTTCAGATGAAGCCTCAGAAATCCATTGTAAAGCAATGGTCTTCTAAGATTGTGACATCAAAAGTCTGGCAGTAGCTCTGGAGGAACCCTAGAGTTGGGGCCTTGACTTTTCAAACCCAGAGCTTTGTGCTTTGGCTTGAGATGTTCAGATGAAGCCTCAGAAATCCAATGAAAAGCAACGATCTTCTAAGATTGTGATATCGAAAGCCTGACAGTAGCTCTGCAGGAGCCCTAGAGTTGAGAATGGGTGGGATAAAGTATCTTCAGAGCAACATTGCCTTGCCTTTGCAAACCCAGAGCTTTCAATTTAGACTTGGGGTGTTCAGAAGAAGCCTCAGAAATCCATTGTAAAGCAATGGTCTGCCAAGATTGTGACATCGAAAGCCTGGCAGTAGCTCTGGAGGAACATCTATCTTTCAGCTAGCCCTAAAATCTTAGGTTACATTGAGAGTAGAGATTCGATCTGTAAATTCCTAGTTGTTCCTCTACCCAGTTCTAATTGAGTTCTACTACTGGAGGTCCAGAATATATCAAAACAAACTCTGTTCTCATGGGAGAAAAAAAAATCTTGATCCCATTATTGACAGCTTGTAAATACTCTACTATCCGCTGTGTACAGTGGAAAAAAAAAAACGGTCAAACATTCCATGCTGTCATGGGACAACCGTGAACACAGCTGTGAATATTGAATGGAGAGGGTCTTTGGACAGCTTCTCTCACCTGCAGTACATGACCAACAAAGGGATTGAGCAGCACTGAGACACCATAAGAAATGCCCCTATTCAAGAAAGCTCTTGGACTTGTACACAAGGGATAGTAGCAGGGCTGCTGTTAGAAACCACGGGGCCCCCATACAGCCAACCTGACAGGGCCCTCTAAAAAAAAAAAAAAAAGTACAGTTTACTATGCTTCAGTTATGAATGAACACAGTGAGTAATCAGTACAGATCATTAACTGTGTCCATTCAGGGAAGGAAGGAGCTGGTAACTGACATATTTTACCGGACACTTCGCCCACTCTCCATTCTGAGGGATCCTATTGTGTGCTTGCAGCTGCTGGTGGGAAGGAGAGGAGGGAATCCGGCAGCACTGATGATGTGTGGGGCACACAGGGAGGCATGGGGTAGCAGGGGGAAACGTATGCTGCACAGGGAGGGTGATGGGTGTGGCGGGGGGGGGGGCAATTACTAGAATCGATTTCCTGCATGGCTCTCTCTGTAGGAGGGAGAGGAGACAAAGCCAGCTTTCAGCTGCTGTGGAGAGAGCCATACAGGGGATCAGTTCCAGTAATTACCCGATCACACTCCCTGCCCACATCCAATTCACCCAACTGCCTGGGCCCCCCTGCTGACCGTACAGGAGGACTGGTGGTACCCCCTTATCAGAGCAGCAAACAGTCACTACGTTCCTACACTCAGGTCTGTACTCACAATATTCCTAGATAGTTGGATGCCTCCTTCCAATATCAACCAGACATTTCTCCGATGAACTCTCCAGATCAGATCCTCAGTACAATCCTTTAATCTGGTCCAGCAAGATTCAGAACAGCCCCCCCCCCCCAGCTTTGGCATAGCTGGGACCCCGATGAGCACATGTAGGAAGGACACCAGCCCATCTAGAGAAGAACAGGGCTGCCTCAGGCCCCAGACTATTTATGTTCTTCAATCATCTACTGGACATCCTCCTTCAGGGATTGGCTGAGACCACATAAATATTCAGACTGCATATCTGTCTCTTCGAACCCACTACATTCTAGATTCCTCCAGAAGGCAGGGGGTAGCAGTCGAATCTGCAACGAGCGAAGCCTAGAGCAGCCCAAAGCAATCACAAACTTCTCCACCAGTTACAGAGGAGCCAAAAAGAACTAAATTTACCCAACCTTTCCAGCAACCCACCTAGGAGAGTGCTACAACTAAACACTAAGCCAGGGGTGGACTGACCATTTGGAAACTCGGGCACTGCCCGAGGGCCCGGGGTCAGGGGGGGGGCCATGAGATGCCCCTGGTACCTTTTTCATAGGCTTTTTTGAGTTTGGGCAAGAACACAGGGGGCCCCATGATCCCCTATTGCCCGGGGGCCCCATGAGTTGTCAGTCCACCCCTGCACTAAGCTGTTATTTCATTACATTGCCATATAATATCTAATATTCCAGAAAGGTGTTTTGTAGATTTGAAGGTCTTTCGATCCATTTCCACATAGTTTGAACCATTGGAACATCGTCCTCCTGAACTGTAGTTGCTGTAAATGTTTAACATCTGCTGCTGAGTATGAGCTGCTTGTTGTTTGATAATGGCATCAGGGTGACATGTGGTTCTAATCATCCTGTGGTCGTTTATTGCAGTGTTTTTCAAGAAACACAAATCTACCGAGATTATTCTGCTGCATCAGATACGAGGAATCCTAAAAAGCTACTTGGCTCTGTCCTCTCTCCATAGCTCTATCTTACCCAGCCAACAAATTAACCGATGATGAGCTAGTATCGTTATTCTAAATCCAGAACAAGCAACGGCAGTGTTGGGTTTCTTGTGCTAATTTTGTTCCTTTTTTCCCTGAAAGTCTTCTGAAGGGGAGATAAAGCTATCGGGAGATGAGGAGGATCTTCTGAATCTGGAAGACGAAGTGTTTAACCCGAACATGAGCTCGTTAAGGCATGAGAACGTGGAGGACCTCTATGAACTTCTGGAGAAGTTGGGCAGGTAAGGCTGATGGATCTTCTTCTAGACTTGAGTCAAATCTTTGTTTTGCAATAACTTTTGGAAGTTGGGTAGATCTTTTTTTTTCCTCAAAACTTCTAATGTTATAAGTTTCTTGTTACTGAGTTCTCAGTTTGTATGTGTTGGAAATCCCTTTAATTCAATCATTTTTGTTTCACACATCGTAACGCCCTGATTTCCGATTGGTTTCATCTTGTGGGTATTGTAAGTCTCTGAATGTTTACTGACATCAATGATAGAGACACATCAATGTTGTGGAAGTGTCAGGCTAATTGCTTTCTGGAAACCTGTTCAAATTTTTAGTAATTCACATTCAGTAAAAAGTCAACACATTTTGGTGGTTGTAAAGGGCCTCATTTTTCTGGGTTGCAAAATTTGGAATGGCTGTGAAGCTATACTTATCCTAGGTGTAGAATGTGGAGTACGGGTGTCTGCTGTAGTTGTAAAGTAACTACCCCTATCCTTGAGGGACCTTTAGAACTGTTGGATATCCATTGGCTTTTTGGTGAATGTGAGTATTAAAATAAATAACTTTCTCCAGTGATCTTCTAGGACGTCAGGCCTTCTTTCCCTATTGGCCTCACTGGCTAGGTCTAAATCCTCCCCTTCCTCTAAGAAGCTATAACATGAACCCTTGGCTTCAGGTATAGCGTGTAAATAAGATAATTTATTAAGGACAACACAAACATAAACGCAGTGCAACAAACCAAACCCAAAACTAACACAAATACAAACAACAAGGTGAAACAAACCCAAACCTAAACTGATATATATATATATATATGTATGGAGCACAACGTAGTCAGGTGGGCCGGGTCGGTAGCTAACGGGCAAACGGGGTACCAGGAGCGAGCGGAAGAGTGGTCAGGAATAGCCGAGGTCAGGACAGGCGGAGTTCGTTCAGAGTCAGGTTCAGAGTCAGGATCAAGCTGGATCAGGCAGGAAGCAGACAGGATGCAGGTACAGGGGCTCATGGGAAACATACACCAAGGCCCTGATCACAGGCCTGGTCCTGCTTAAATACACCTCCTGCAATCAGCCTCAGGTAATGGCCTGATTGCAGGAGTGAGATTCTGGCTGCTGAGAGCACCCGCTGGCCAGCCTTGGTACTGCAGCCCACAAGGCAGGTGAGTCCCACAAGGCAGGTGAGTCCCACCACCATTGGCGAGTCCATTCCTGACAGGAGGGAACTATCACGTACCTGGTGTTAGAGGCCAATGGAGAGACGGCTTCCCTTGCGGCTAATATCCAGACTCCCCTGGATATGGGACAGCAGGAGTCGGGCCCAAAGTAGCATAGGTCACCTGTAGGAGTGCTTGTCAGAGGTACACCCAGGAGCACAGCTGATGCACTGGAATGGTGTCTGCGGACAGGTGGCGCCCGTGAGAGGTATGCAAGCCTTCAGGGAAACAGAGGACCACAGGATAGTTGGTTCAAAGCCAAGGTCAAGTGCCAGGTGGAGATTGGAGCAGACATAGTCAATAGGATAGCTGGGATCATGCACAGAATATAGCGGGTGAGAATATCCGTTAGCCAAGCCAGGGTCAGGTCAGGAGTCAGGCAGAGAAGACAGGTCCAGGAGCAAGCCGAATCGGTAACAGGAAATCACAATAGCAAGAGAACACGGACAAAGGTACTGGGGAGCCAGAGATCAACCAGAAATTTGAGGGAGTGATGGGCCTCCTAATAAAGGCCATCTGGCGCCAAACTGAACCAATGCGTGCGTAACTATGCCCCAGTGCGCATGCGTGTTCTGGCTTGCGTCTGTGTGCCAATGCGCATAGATTTTCACCAACATGAACTTCTGCAGCCATGCAAGGTACTGGCAGGGATGCCAGGTCTCCTAGTACCCTGCTGTGGACAGAGCCCTGGTAGGAACGTTATCACAAAGGGGGACACTTCTCGGCCCTTTGGGGGTTGCAGGGGCCTTCTTCGACTCAAAATGTAGAGGACGAGGATTTGGAAAAAGCCAAGGGTTCATGTTATAGCTTCTTAGAGGAAGGGGAGGATTTAGACCTAGCCAGAGAGGCCAATGGGGGAAGTAGGCCTGACGTCCTAGGAGATGACTGGAGAAAGTTACTTATTTTGATACTCACGTTCACCAAAAAGCCAATGTATATTCAGCAGTTCTAAAGGTCCTTAGCTTCTTAGAGGAAGGGGAGTATTTAGGCCTGGCCAGTGGAGAAGTAGGCTTGCCATCCCGGAAGATTTCTAGAAACATTGTTACCGATTAGTCTAACTGGGAATTTTCTTGAATTCGGTCAGAGCGGTGCTTTCCTCCTGACACTTGTGGTCTCACTTAAAACCAGATCTCAGTCAATGATTCCACATCAGATGAATACTCAGTTGGGGATTCTTATACAGACCAAGAGATACATTGCTCCACAAACCTCTATCTTCCTATTAAACAATAAAACCTGACAGAGATTCTAATCCCTCCCCTCTGTAGCAATGCAAAAAATGTGGGCTGGAGTGATACTTCATCTATCTTCAGTGAGGTTCTGGGAACACTTGAATCTCTAGGATTAAACACAAGAGTGAAATGCATCAAGAGGGATCTCCAAGTGGGTACTTGCTACATGGGTCGTATGGCCAAATAAATCCACTTAAACTGGTCACGTCATCAATATGCAGCCTTTCCTTCTCAGCATATGTACATTGAGCATGGATGGGCTCCAGAGAATGGTTCCTGGCATGCCTGTACTGGATTGAGATGTTTGAAGCTTGGAGTGTCAGGTCCCATAGTCAATTTCTTTCTATTTCAATGGTTTTTATTAATTTTTAAACAGTATAAAAGAGAGGCAATAAAACACACCCACGCAGGGGCTATCAATTGCAGAGATAAAAAAAATGCAAAAGAAAAAAAAAAAAGAAAAACGGTGCTCTAATGCCAACAGGGCAAAAGGTACGCCCACGCAGAGGCTATCAATGGCACATAAGTTACAAAACATTACTGTAACTGACTATAACAACTAAATGCAGCTGTCCAGTCACACCAAAACAGAGAGAGAATGAAAAAAGAAGAAAGAGGGGAAGAAAAGAAATAGAAAAAAAAAACAAAAAGGGAGGGGCAGGGGTCCAAGAGCGCCAATACCGAACGCCATTACATCCCCAGACTAGCCGGGGAGAGTGTGGGAAAGGCATATTGCAACCACGGCTCCCATATTTTCAAAAATTTATGTTGGGAGTCGTTGCGGATACTCAACATCTGTTCGTTGAGCATCATAGTGGTCATACGATCCCGCACCCCCTGAAGAGGGACAAACGGACTCTTCCAGGCCTGAGCAATTGTTCTAGTGGCCGATAAAAACAGATAGGAAGCCAACTTCTGCTGATGAGCCAAGAGGCCCGGTATGGGGCAATGAAGCAAAGCATACCGAGCATCCCGGCGTATGGAGAGATGGAACAAGGTGAAAAGGAGGCCAAACACACAAGACCAAAAACGAAACAGTCTCGGGCATGACCACCAGATATGCAATACATCTCCACGATGGCCACAACCCCGAAAACACTGATCACTACAGGCAGGGTTAGCCCAGGCCAACCGAGCCGGAACCCAGTACCAGCGAAACAATACCTTATAGGCTGCCTCCAGCGTGGTCGTATTAAATGAGCATTTAGCTATGAGTGACCAGGCCTTATTCCAGTCCTTCGGATCCACGGCCACTCCCAGGTCGCGCTCCCACTGAACGACATATGAAAGAGAAGTATGCGGTGAGCATCTATTCAAAGCTGCATAAAGAAGGGAAATAAGGCCTGGGGCGCCCGGCCGTTGTTGGCAAAGCAGTTCAAAGGCAGATTTCTGGTACGGGACCATAGTCAATTTTTGAGCTTGAATAGTTGCAGTTGAAGATTTATGATTAATTAGAAAAAAAAAGATGACCAACAACAATGAGGGCTTTGCCACCTTCAGGGACAAGCCTACAGGGCCTGATTGTAAATTTTTTATTTGCTGCCCTTGTGTCTAGTTTAGATCTTTTTCTTGCTGCTGTGGTCACAAAAACAGGAAGTCAGCAGCATCAATAAGGTCAAAAACCCACTTGAGATATTTCCTCTTAATTGTTTTGTGGCCACTAGGACAGGAAGACAATGAAAATACTTCTAGTAGGAACACCAGCAGCAATAAAATGCTAAAAGGGGTTCGAAATCTTCAGCACTAAATCCTAAACAAAAAGAATATGACCGGAGTTCTGTTTTAAGCAAGGCGCCTCTTCCGTTTGGCTGGTAGGCCCCTTTAATTTCTAAGCACCATTTGATGGAACCTAATGAATACTTTGCTTCAAACAGTTAGCAACTAACTTCATATAGTATGAAATGAATTCATTGAGTCAGAGCTTTCAGTCCTCCGGAGTTCTGTGATTCATTAGCAATCGTATAGCCTAGAACCTCTGAATTATGTATAAACTACTCAATAATTTAATTCCCTTGTCTGCACTGGGGAAATATAGGAATACGGATCTCTCACTAATAAAAGAACATTTATGAATACGTTTCTGGCGAGGCAAAATCTACGTGTATGTCTTTGATTAATGCGATGTTGCCTGGTGATTACCTCAGACTCTGGGTCTTGTTGTCTCCAGAGTGAGTCTATGTTCTTGAAAAAAGGCTGCAAGTGTTCAAAAGAGAATTCATGGCATGTATTAAAATTTGACGTAATGCGATTTGTAGCTTACATGCTATAAACAAGTCCAAACTGCACAAACACAAAAAAAGTGGTAAACGGGGTGCTCAGCAATGGAGACCTGAATGCTACTGGCAGTCTAATTCACCTTGACCGCTCAGTGTTTACCAACCCCCTCTGCAAGGACTTCCGTTGGTTTCTGATTGAAAAAGGAATAAAACTCCAAATACTAACAACATACAAAACTTTCCACGACTCTGCCTCAAGCTACATGACTACTTTGTCTCGAAATAAAATCCAAAACCGATCTCTCTGCATTTTCAAAGATCTCCTGCTCTCTAGCTTCCTCATCACCTCCTCCCATGCTCATCTCCACAGTTACTCAAGAGCTTCTTCCATCTTCAACTGATTGAGTCTAGCACCTCCCAAGACCTACCATCCTCTGGAGACTCCCAAGACTTCCTGCTATCTAGCTTCCATGCTTGCCTCCAAGACGTCTCCAGAGCCTCTTCAATCCTTTGGATCCTCTCAAGACTTTGTCTCTCTAGCTCCCAAATCACCTCCTCCCAGGGGCGGACTGACCATTTGGAAACTCAGGCACTGCCCGAGGGCCCTGGGTCAGTAGGGGGCCCCATGAGATGCCCCTGGTACCTTTTTCATAGGCTTTTTTGAGTTTGGGCAATGACACAGGGGCCCCATGATCCCCTATTGCCCGGGCGCCCCATGAGTTGTCAGTCCGCCCCTGCCTCCTCCCATGCTAGCCTCCAGATTGTCTTCAGATCTTCTCCCATTCCCTGGAGTTACCCAAGACCTCCTGCTCTCTAGCTCCCTCAACACTTCCTCCCATGCTTGCCATCAGGATTTCTCCAGAGCCTTTTCCATCATCTGGATCCTCTCAAGATTTCCTTCTGTCCACCTCCCTCATCTCCTTGGGCTTGGCCACAGAAATAGTCACCTCTGTGACTGACTACCTCTGTGGCCAAGCCCCGTTGGGTGGGGTGAAGCACGTCAGAGGGTGTGACCAGTACAGAGGTTGAGTCCTTTCCTTAACATTAGACTCCTGGGGTCGGTTGAGCAGCGTCCATCTCTTCACTAGTATGGGCCAGTAACTTGATATTATCTATCTGACTAATTTTCCTGCCTAAATATTGTATACGGACTTATAAAGCTTTTATTTGGTGCTATGTTTGAAAAATTATCTGCTTACACATTTGAAAATGTCTTTTAAATAGCTCATAATAAATAAATATATATATATTTTCTATATGAGGCACAATGCAAGCTAAGCCAGTGGGTTTGTTTTGTAAACCAACCAATGTGATCAGCATGATTGAATGTTATGATGATCAAATGATTCAGAAATAGAATGGATTTTGATTGTTGCTCAGAGACCAACACTATCAGCAAGAGTTCTGCCTCAAATCCTGAAAGTGTTAGGCAGCGCAGTGGCCAAGTGGTTAGCACTTCCATATGGCAGTACTAAGGTAGTTGGTTTGAATCCCAACCATGGCACCCCCTTGCCTGGAGTTTGCATGTTCTCCCTGTGCCTGCGTGGGTTTCCTCCCACACTCCAAAGACATGCTGGTAGGTTAATTGGCTCTTGTTTAAATTGGCCCTAGTATGTGTATGTATGAATGTGAGTTAGGGACCTTAATTGTATGCTCCTTGAGGGTTCGTGTATGATGTGAAAAAAAAATAAAAATAAAATAAATATATATATATATATATACAGTGGGGATCGAAAGTTTGGGCACCCCAGCTAAAAATTTGTATTAATGTGCATAAAGAAGCCAAGGAAAGATGGAAAAATCTCCAAAAGGCATCAAATTACAGATTAGACATTCTTATAATATGTCAACAAAAGTTAGATTTTATTTCCATCATTTACACTTTCAAAATAGCAGAAAACAAAAAAATGGCGTCTGCAAAAGTTTGGGCACACTGCAGAATTTATAGCATGCACTGCCCCCTTTGCAAAGCTGAGACCTGCCAGTGTCATGGATTGTTCTCAATCATCGTCTGGGAAGACCAGGTGATGTCAATCTCAAAGGTTTTAAATGCCCAGACTCATCTGACCTTGCCCCAACAATCAGCACCATGGGTTCTTCTAAGCAGTTGTCTAGAAAACTGAAACTGAAAATAGTTGACGCTCACAAAGCTGGAGAAGGCTATAAGAAGATAGCAAAGTGTTTTCAGATGTCAATATCCTCTGTTCGGAATGTAATTAAGAAATAGCAGTCATCAGGAACAGTGGAAGTTAAAGCAAGATCTGGAAGACCAAGAAAAATATCAGACAGAACAGCTCGCAGGATTGTGAGAAAAACAATTCAAAACCCACGTTTGACTGCACGATCCCTCCAGAAAGATCTGGCAGACACTGGAGTTGTGGTACACTATTCCACTATAAAGAGATACTTGTACAAATATGGTCTTCATGGAAGAGTCATCAGAAGAAAACCTCTTCTACGTCCTCACCACAAAAATCATCGTTTGAACTTTGCAAATGAACATATAGACAAGCCTGATGCATTTTGGAAACAAGTTCTGTGGACCGATGAGGTTAAAATTGAACTTTTTGGCCGGAATGAGCAAAGGTACGTTTGGAGAAGAAGGGGCACAGAATTTAATGAAAAGAACCTCTGTCCAACTGTTAAGCATGGGGTTGGATCAATCATGCTTTGGGGTTGTGTTGCAGCCAGTGGCACAGGGAACATCTCACGAGTAGAAGGAAAAATGGATTCAATAAAATTTCAGCAAATTTTGGATGGTAACTTGATGCCATCTGTGAAAAAGCTGAAGTTAAAGAGAGGATGGCTTCTACAAATGGATAATGATCCTAAACACACCTCGAAATCCACGGGGGATTACATCAAGAGGCGTAAACTGAAGGTTTTGCCATGGCCTTCACAATCTCCTGACCTCAACATCATTGAAAATCTATGGATAGACCTTAAAAGAGCCGTGCGTGACAGACAGCCCAGGAATCTCAAAGAACTGGAAGACTTTTGTAAGGAAGAATGGGCAAAGATACCTCAAACAAGAATTGAAAGACTCTTGGCTGGCTACAAAAAGCGTTTACAAGCTGTGATACTTGCCAAAGGGGGGAGTACAAGATATTAACTCTGCAGGGTGCCCAAACTTTTGCAGACGCCATTTTTTTGTTTTCTGTTATTTTGAAAGTGTAAATGATGGAAATAAAATCTAACTTTTGTTGACATATTATAAGAATGTCTAATCTGTAATTTGATGCCTTTTGGAGATTTTTCCATCTTTCCTTGGCTTCTTTATGCACATTAATACAAATATTTAGCTGGGGTGCCCAAACTTTCGATCCCCACTGTATACAAACACAGACATAAAGCGCTGCGTAAATTGACTGCGCTATGTAAGTACCTGTAACCACTATATTCGGTCTCCCCGGACCCTGCATTCACTATATCCGCTCTCCACGGACCCTGCATTCACTATATTCGCTCTCCCCGGACCCTGCATTCACTATATCCGGTCTCCCCGGACCCTGCATTCACTATATCTAGTCTCCCTGGACCCCGCATTCACTATATCAAATCTCCCTGGACCCTGCATTCACTATATCTGGTCTCCCCAGACCCTGCATTCACTATATCTGGTCTCCCCGGATCCTGCATTCACTATATCCGCTCTCCTACAGTACACAGAACATAGAAATGCAATTATTTTAGTAAATATAAGCTGCTAAATACCTTTTCTCATCAGCAATATATAGCAGTCTTGTGACTTCTATCAGTGTCCAGCTTAACACTGGTTAATCTTGTAGGAGGAGTTTTCATTCTCCTCTGACTGTCCTATGAGGCTGCATAACCCCTGACCCTCTGTCTGGGACAGTGCTGATTGGTCCTGTGCTGATCACATGCACCCTCTCAAGAAAAAAAAAAAAGTATCTAGCAATACACACCAAACTGAGTATATGCAGAGTGTCTCCTAGGGCTCTGTACTATCAGCAGATGAATTGGGGACTGGGGAAGAAGGAGAGGATCAGAGCAGACTCTAGGAGGATGCAGAACCCCTGACCTCTGTCTGGACAGTGCTGATTGGCCCTGTGCTGATCACATGCACTCTCCCAAGAAAAAAAAAAAAACCTCTCTAGCAATACACGCCAAACTGAGCATGTGCATGTGACTACAGAATCAGTCTGTATCAGGTGGTCATTTCAACAAAAGGAGAGGCAGAAAAGACAGGATCAAACAGCCTTTTTACACAATGCAGAGGATTAACCCCTTAGGTTCCACAGTGAGTATAACAAGCATGCTTTACTGCATCTACAGACTGATTGTACTGATGTGGTTTTAGTAACACTTTATAACCTCAGCAGCAAAGTTAAAAAGCCCGTCTCCCACCAGCAATGCTGCAGAGAAGACTTCTTGCTCCCTGTGTGGAAACAGTGGCCTCTCTACAGAGGTCTGAGGCGCCCCCTGCTGAGTCACTGAGAACTAGAGCAGAGAGCATACGCTTTGCCGACTGCAGTTATAGGTCTTATCAGGGGCGGACTGACAACTCATGGGGCCCCCGGGCAATAGGGGATCATGGGGCCCCTGTGTCCTTACCCAAACTCAAAAAAGCCTATGAAAAAGATACCAGGGGCATCTCATGGGGCCCCCTACTGACCAAAGACCCAGGCAGTGCCCGAGTTTCCAAATGGTCAGTCAGCCCCTGGGTCTTACTTAGCAAGGGGGCACGTGCTTTGCTGATTGAAGATCTCTAGCTCTGACCCAACAGGTGGTATGTTACACCTCTGCAGAGAGACCACTGCTTCCACACAGAGCAACGGTCCTTCTCTGCAGCCCGCTGGCAGGGGACAGGCTTTTTTGCTCAGGCTCTAGCTATGTTCTAGAGAAAATAAAACGTACGAGTTTGCCCACCTTTTTATTTTGATACAATGGAATGTATTTAGCTGTGGGTTGGTATTTGGCTTTTGTATCTGAGGATGATGGGACATTTTTGAGAGATTTACGATGTACCTACCTACCATTTAGCGTCGATTGAGAGGTTCACTAAAACACACCGATCTCATCCACAGCAACTGCTGACACCATTTTGTATGTCCTATGAAAAAAAGCTCTCAGTGGTTTCCCATTCTTATCTCTCTGATGGTTTCCTCTATCTGCAGTGGTCACTTCGGTGAGGTGAGGAAATGCAAAGAGAAGAGCACGGGGTCCCTGTACGCGGGAAAGTTCATAAAGACCCGCAAATGTAAAGGGAGCCGCCTTGGCCAGGACCGCGATCAGGTGGAGCGAGAAGTCTTCATTCTCCAGCAGTTAGAGCACCCCAACGTCATGAAGCTGTACGATGTCTTCGCCAGCAAGGCCGAGATGGTGCTCATCCTGGAACTGTGAGTAATGGCCGCTGTTGTAGACGGGTTGCTTGTTTTCCCTACTTAGAGCTCACCACAATCTCATTGTACAACCTCCTTTCAATCTACCATCAAGTATGTAGTACAACAGCCTGACTGATTGGGATATAAATTGATGGGATAGGTCTTCATATTGCATCATTTTGGTAGATCTGAAGTTGATTTGTACAGAGATCGCATGGCCAGATTGTGTGGTAAACCTAAACTAGATTAACTGAAGAAGCCATAATGACCCAGCTAAGGCACAGAGCATCTATAGAAGCCTTTCTCAACCTTCTCAACAGAGAGGAACCCTTGAAATAACTTTCCAGGCTCAGGGAACCCCAGATTGTGTGGTAAACCTAAGCCAGATAAACCTGAAGAAGCCATAGTGACCCAGCTAAGGCACAGAGCCTCTACAGAAGCTTTTCTCAAACGTCCCAACAGAGATGAACCCTTGAAATAGCTTTCCAGGCTCAGGGAACCCCCGCTAAAAAATCACTATATCTAGACCTCCCAGTACATTAGTATGATGATCACTGGGAACAATGTTCCTTACATTGATGGTCATTGACAAGAATGCACCTTATATTGGTGATCAGTGGGAAGATTGTCCCTTACATTGGTGGACAGTGGGAGGAATGCTCTTACATTTAAGATCAGTGGGAAGAATGGCCCTTACATTGGTGGTCAGTGTGAAGAATGTCCCTCACATTGGTGGTCAGTGGGAAGAATGTCCCTTACATTGGTGGTCAGTGTGAAGAACGTCCCTTACATTGGTGGTCAGTGGGAAGAATGCTCCTTACATTGGAGGTCAGTGGGAAGAATGTCCCTCACATTGGTGGTCAGTGGGAAGAATGTCCCTTACATTGGTGGTCAGTGGGAAGAATGTCCCTTACATTGGTAGTCAGTGGGAAGAATGTCCCTTACATTGGTGGTCAGTGGGAAGAATGTCCCTTACATTGGCGGTCAGTGGGAAGAATGTCCCTTACATTGGCGGTCAGTGGGAAGAATGTCCCTTACATTGGCTGTCAGTGGGAAGAAAATCCCTTACATTGGTGGTCAGTGGGAAGAATGCTCCTTATATTGGTGGTCAGTGGGAAGATTGTCCCTTACATTGGTGGTCAGTGGGAGGAATGCTCTTACATTTAAGATCAGTGGGAAGAATGGCCCTTACATTGGTGGTCAGTGTGAAGAATGTCCCTTACATTGGTGGTCAGTGGGAAGAATGCTCCTTACATTGGAGGTCAGTGTGAAGAATGTCCCTCACATTGGTGGTCAGTGGGAAGAATGTCCCTCACATTGGTGGTCAGTGGGAAGAATGTCCCTTACATTGGTGGTCAGTGGGAAGAATGCTCCTTACATTGGAGGTCAGTGGGAAGAATGTCCCTTACATTGGTGGTAAGTGGGAAGAATGTCCCTTACATTGGTGGTCAGTGGGAAGAATGTCCCTTACATTGGTGGTCAGTGGGAAGAATGTCCCTTACATTGGCGGTCCGTGGGAAGAATGTTCCTTACATTGGTGGTCAGTGGGAAGAATGCCCCTTACATTGGCGATCAGTGGGAAGAATGTTCCTTACATTGGCGGTCAGTGGGAAGAATGCCCCTTACATTGGTGGTCAGTGGGAAGAATGCTCCTTACATTGGGGCTCAGTGGGAAGAATGTCCCTTACATTGGCGATCAGTGAGAAGAATGTCCCTTACATTGGTGATCAGTGGGAAGAATGTTCCTTACATTGGAGGTCAGTGGGAAGATTGTTCCTTACATTGGTGGTCAGTGGGAAGAATGTCCCTTACATTGGTGGTCAGTGTGAATCCCTTTCCCTTACAGATAGCTAAAAGATCATTGGTATCAGTGGATTACTCATCTGAGAGGAAGAAGTTGCTCATTGCTCCAGAAACTCTAGAAAAACCTTAGCGTTCCATGAAACCCTAGTTGAAGAAGGCTGCTCTATAGCTTTCACAGCTGTTGTCAACTTATGGGACCTTTAGGGTTAAATAACATAAACGATTTTGAAGTGACCATGATACTGCCTTAAATCTACAAAAATGGAAACAAAAAAGCTCTAATCTGGTGTGGTCTCCTGCAGTATTTTCACTCCGCTACTAGAAGTTGCCTTTTCCCTGGTTGTATGATGACCAGTTTCATCCGATCCACTTCCGGTAGGTCCAAGCTGTCATTGACCCACCTCTTGGGGGTATGTCATCATGCAGGCTCGGCTCACAGTGCTCTTGGACTGAGCGGCACTCACTTGCCATTATATGAGCACCATTCATTCCAAGAAGAAAGACTGTCCACCACAGCCATTGAAAAAGAGGAGGAAAGACCCTTGATATTACCCAATGGACCTGATGAAGACAGGTTTAAAAGTATATAAAAGGTATTTTTTAGGATATTTATCTATTTCAATAATTTTTATTGAAATAATTTTTCCAAAAAACATAAAAAGAAATACAAGAACAATAGTTCCACAATCTTTGATGCCATGATGGCAACTACATCTAGACAAGGCTACATATCAAACCCGCCCCGCAGGCCAGAGTACTTGGTGTCATTCTGGACCCCAACCTATCCTTCCAGCCCCAAGTCCAATCTTTAACAAACTCGTGCAGACTCCACCTCCGCAACATTGCCAAAATCCTCACGTTCCTAACCCCAGAAACCACTAAACAGCTCATCCACTCCCTCATCATATCACGAATCGACTACTGCAACTCCCTCCTCACTGGCCTGCCTCGCCGCTGGCTATCCCCGCTTCAGTCCATCCTGAATACGGCTGCCAGACTCATTCACCTCACCAACCGCTCCATCTCCGCCACCCCCCCTCTGCCAATCCCTCCACTGGCTTCCGATTGCGCAACGGATCAAATTCAAAATCCTAACACTGACGTACAAAGCCGTCCACCATACTGCCCCAAACTACATCACTGACCTAATATCCAAGTACCGCCCAGCACGCACACTCCGCTCCTCACAAGACCTCCTTCTCTCTAGTTCCCTGGTCTCCTCCTCCCATGCCCGCCTCCAGGACCTCTCCAGGGTGTCACCCATCCTCTGGAACTCCCTGCCCCAACCCATCAGATTATCACCTACTCTCCTCTCCTTTAGGCGCACCCTGAAAACCCATCTCTTCAGGGAAGCCTACCCCACCCCCTGCTAACTTGCTGACCTCCTCCACTCTTCCTACCACTCCATCCCCAACAGCTATCTCCTCCTGTACCACTATCCCCTCCCTCCTAGATTGTAAGCTCCAAGGAGCAGGGCCCTCAATCCCCTCATGTTTTGCATTGTATTGGTATTGTTCTGTCACATGTTCTGTCCCCCTTTGTAATGTACAGCACTGAGCGAACTATTGGCGCTTTATAAATACTGTATAATAATAATATAATAATAATAATATGATAAGTAAAGCATAGATTGAGAGTCATCTATGGAATACAACCAGGTTGACCATTATAGCACTATACCGTATACTATATACCATAATATATACCAAAAGTAAGCCATCAAGAACAAAATCAGGTTTGGACCAACCCTTGACTAAGAAATATATCGATGTAGGGCCCACAAGAGTATTTATTCAATGTGAATTATGGGGATGGTGGATTGACTAAGGGGTGGGGTGGGGTTAAGCTAGATTTCAGCTTTAAAAGAATACTATACGTTTTTAGAATTACACTTTAGGTAACCAACCCAATTTCGACACTACCCCAAAGTACTGGACTATAGGCACATGCCAGATCTGCGCTGTGTGGCCCACCTGGAGAAGCATAGCCGATGCTGCAAACTCTTCTTGCCAGAACATTGCTTCTCCTGTGCATGGGTAGAAAAATCCCATTTGTTCCTAAGGAAAGTCTTTCTGTTACGTGACCTAACAATAGGCGGTCTCTTCATAACAAAAGAAGCAAGGAACCAATGGGAACAGTTTGCCGCGGTTGCTTTGTGGCTCCATGTAGGCTGCACAGTATGACCTGGCTCTGATATGGACATGTAAGACACCTTCAGATCGGCTTTGATGTTCAAAAGCACCTGGTGCTCAGATTTGTGGGGTATTTGGACCATATTTAGAACACTCCTATGGTGTTTATGGTTCTGCCTCCTAGCAGTAGAAGACTACACCCAACCGCAGTCCAGATGTTGCCTTCTACACTGCAATGCTGTGGGCACCAACATGTTCAGCTCGGTACACGCTATGTTTCCAACCCTTTGGCAGGTGTGTCTGAACAAGAGAACTCCTCAGGCTAAGACATCCATAATAGTTTGTGTCTGCTGTATGAAAGGAGAAGTATCATGTTTTTCCATAAGCTCACATTTTGTAGGGCACATGTGCCCAAATTATGGACATTACATTTTTTACAAGGCTTCCTGAAGGACTCTATCTAAAAAAACAAAAAACTAGTGCACGAGTATCTCTGATGCATGTAGGTTGTGGTCATTAATGTTCCCAAAACGCGTTGGTGCCTTTTTATCTTACTGTTGTCATTTTGTTACCAGCATTAACTGGACATTTGAGACAACATTTATATCATTCTAGTTTCTTTTACATATAAATTTAAAAAATCTTGAAAAAAGGCTATAAATTCTCTTTAAAGCAGGGGTGTCAAACTCAAATCAATTGCGGGCTGCATTCGTACTATGGTTGCTGTCAGAGGGCTGGTTGTGCAGAGCTCACGATTAGATATGCTATGTACACAATTCAGGGTTTAGGGGTGTGCTACGTACAGAGTGCAGGGGTTAGGGGTGCGTTGTGTACAGAGTTCAGAGGTGTATTGTGTACAGAGTTCAGAGGTGTATTGTGTACAGAGTTCAGAGGTGTATTGTGTACAGAGTTCAGAGGTGTATTGTGTACAGAGTTCAGAGGTGTATTGTGTACAGAGTTCAGAGGTGTATTGTGTACAGAGTTCAGAGGTGTATTGTGTACAGAGTTCAGAGGTGTATTGTGTACAGAGTTCAGAGGTGTATTGTGTACAGAGTTCAGAGGTGTATTGTGTACAGAGTT